TTATCTTATCTCATTTTAATTTTCTTTACTTATGCTATTAGCATGTACAGCACTTTGTGAACTCTGGTTTTATGTTAAAGTGCTTTATAAATAAAGGTGGTTTGGTATGGTACATTAAAATCATCAACCGGACCAGTGTTGTTATTGTGTTTTTTCTCTTGTATCCATCTCCAATATTTTGAATCCGTAACAAAACTAATGAGAGAATTTTAAAAACAATCCTAAAACGTACAGGTAGCCAGTGGAGTGAAATTAAAATGGGGGTAATGTGCTCAGACTTCTTTGTTCCAGTTAAAAGACGTGCTGCAGCATTTTGCACAACCTGCAGACGCCTGATGCATCACTAACCCCACAATAAAGTGCGTTACAATAATCCAGCCTACATGTAACAAAGGCATGGATTACTGGATTACGGTCTCAAAAAGCTGTTTTGATAAGATGGGCTTTATTTTGGCTAATTTTATTTGTTTGGTGATTACATGCAGCTTTTCTCTAAAGGCTTTGAATGCTTGTATCGTGATTTAAACTCATTAAACTGCTCTCACAACTCTAATGTAATATAAACTGTACACACTTAAATGATTAGAAGATCATCGACCTGCTCTGAGGGCCTTGGTGGTTTTCTTCCTGAGCTCAGTCGCTGACGCTCTCCTTTCGGGGTCCTTCTGGAGTCCAGCCCTGAACACTTTAGCTGTGAAGTTGTTACACTTGGATGGCACCTCCCACAGAGGCGGAGGCTCATTGACAATCTAAAACAGATGAATACGCAAGTGTGGTTTTGTCCCATTCAGCCTGTAACTGTCTGATTTTCCACAAACAGCAAATAAGAGATTTTTACCTGGAGACACAGCGGATGGGAATAGTAACGTATCCATGGCTGGCATCCATTGAGCATGTGCAGTAGCATACAACAGCTGCTCCACACATCCGCCTTGGCGCAGAGTTGATCCCCTCGTGCCACCTCAGGGGCCATGTGGGTCTCTGTGCCGGGGAATGCAGCTCCTACATTCACAAACGTTAAATGAATTGAAAGTCTTAAAACTCAAAAAGCCACTCACAACGACGTAGAGGTCAGAATATGTCCAACGTTGTGGTTAATAATCAAATACTGGGAAGACTGTTGCAAATCTTTGAATGCTAACACGGTAGGCTAAGAGTATTGCATGCTATCTTTTAAAGATATGAATGTTTAAAGGTTGAAAGATGACGGTGAAAGGCAGATTTATTCACTGCAAACTCCTTATTGTGTATTTATGGGAGCCTAGGCAGTAGATCACTTCACAAGTAGATTTTAAAAAGACTGACAGTTTGCTGTGATATATATGTATGTGTTTTAATCTAATTTGGTGTTTGAACCAAAATGTTAGTCATC